GGGGCACCGTAGATACCCCAAACGAATTGGTGTAAGCGACTGGTGTATAAGTAACTGGTGTCATTTTAGACGCTCCCTAAATTAATTAATTATTATTGTAAATATACTAAAATGACCTCAAGGAAAATGTGAAATTATTTAGAGAACAAAGGGAGTATGGTATTAAGTTTATGATGGGAATTCAAGATTTAAAATACTTTTCAAATCGAATTTAATTTTCATTTGTGACAAGTTAAAATTGCTAAAATATATGGAGTTTTTCCCCATATATGATCACATGTTTTTATTACCTAAAAAATTAATTAATTATTAATCTAAGTATACTAAAATTCCCTCATATGTCAACTATAACTAAACCCTAATAATTAAAACTCTTTCCTGCATTGATTTCCAGTCTATTTGCACGCTAATACTTCTTCCTCTCTTCTTCTTCTTACACTTCGTTCGCTTCTCCATTTTCCGCTGTGTTTTCCCCTTCCACACGTGCAACATTGACGAACTGTGTGTTCGGACTTGCTTCCACTCGGACACTCTCCCCGCTATAAAACTCTTGTACATTGGCTTCCTGTTATTCGGATCATCTGATGAAGCAATGATCCTACTTTTAGACAGGTACATTTTCCACTTCCACGGTGGCAGAGTTTCCATTTTCCTTCTCCAATCATATGCCAGCCTCCTTCTCTGGCTCCCTGCTCTGTTTTGCTCGTAGCATGCATTTGCCTCCGAAGCCCTCATTTAGGAAACCAAAATATATGGTACACACCATTTTCACACAACACCACCTCTTCTCAATGCCGCACCCGTAGGCGTTGCTGCAGCTGTTTCCATGGATCTTCTGTGCTCGCCACCGCTGCTGCCATGGAAGGGACCAGATATTGCTGCCACTGACAATAATGAGTATTGCTGTCTATAGATATGGGCATTAATGACTATTAGTTCTGGCAGTGATAATAGTGATAGGGCATCAACGTGGATAGTGACATGCTTGAAGTTGTGGCGATGGGTTACCAATGTGGGTTGATGTCACGTGGAGGAACAGTAATGACATTTCATTGTGAGCGTTAACGGCATGTCAATGGGCATTCACAGGGGGTGAGTGGTTGTGATCGGTGGCAGGGGTGGGCATTGAAAGCTAGAGAGATGGGCTACAATGTAAAATTAACCCAATGATATTAAATTTACAATATAACTAAGTGTGTAGTATGTAGCTTTCGTAAGTCGTGATCGAACTTGTAAAGTTTGACCAAGAAGAGTCAAATGTAAAAATATTTTTGGGATGGAGGGAGTATGTTTTAGTAATATTGAGGTAATTTTCCCTTTTTATTTCACTGGTAATGTAATTTTCCTGATGTTCTCTCTCTCTTTTTTTTTTGTAATTTGTGGTTAACTATTGTATTGTACATAGTTTATTTTTTTGTAGGAAAACATTGACGAAGCATAAAATGTTCTCCACAACTTATTTTTCTTGCAATCAAATATAGGCCATGTAATACTTCGTCGTTGTCCTTAATATAGTATCGCGATTGATTATTACTGCAGAGGGTTGGTTGGTTACAGAAGTGTGTTCAGTAGTGATACCCGTGGCACAGGATTTATGCATCGTGCTTTTCTTAGTATGTGTTCTCCTAATCTATCATAAATAATGCTCAATTCTTTTGTTTCATTGTTTCTTTACTGGACACTTATGCTAGCCTCCTAGTCCTTAATAAATGTATTATGACTTCCCTAATAGTGATGTTTTGCTTGTCTTTTTATATAGAATATGAGAAGCACCGTGGTCCTCTTGGAAATGTCAGAAAAGGTGTTTTGGTATGTGTCTATGTTACGATGTACATGGCCATTGGCCCATCACCCACGTGCAAATTGCTAATTTTTCTTTGCTTGTAGATTGCATTTGATTCATAATTCTGCTTCATACAAGAACATAACACCCTATCATGTTCTATGTCATTTTATTCCAACAGTGCAAGAAGTATGTTTGTGATTTTATGTGTTAGACTTTATTGGTTTAACTTATTTTAACAGGTATCTATGGGATTCGGAACTACCACAGCTCATGCATTGACGAGTCTAGAAGCTCGTGGAGTTCTCTTTGTCAGTCCCGGGGTAGAGGTAAATGTTGTGTTCTTTTGGGAACTATGTTATCCTTTACCTTGGTTTCAAATTGCTGCCTCAAATGCAATTCACTTAATTAATTTGCCCTGAATTCCTAGTAGTTACTGTGCCTTTATTTGGGGATGATGTGCAGACATATGATGGCATGATTGTTGGAGAACATTCTCGAGACAGTGATCTTGATGTAAGATTCAATCTTTTTTTACCACTAATAACTCTTATACTACGTAATATAGTACCTGTTCATACAATCCCAAGCCATTAAGCATGTAGAGTTATTGCCCTCACTGGGGATCGAACCTGTGACCTCCCATATGGGAGAGTCACCATCATGCTGCGGGACCACAAAGTCTTTGGCAAGATTCAATCTTTCTATCTTGTATTTTGTCTGTTAATAGTGTTTGACTCTTGGGATGACTGCCCATTCTAGATTAACCCGGTAAGGACAAAGGAGCTCACCAATATGCGTGCTGCTTGCAAGGATGAGAACGTGAAGCTAACTCCTCCCAGACAGGTAATGCACATTTTTTACACACTCCATTATTTTCAAATGTTCTCCATAGGATCAGAGAAAAACCAATGGCTATGTGAATTGCACACAAGTACACCACATTGGGCAGACAAATGTGTTACTCCTAAGTAGTGCTGCACTTTGAAGTGTTTAAAATAGCTCTTATATTTACTGCTTGGCACTCCTTACAGATGACTCTTGAAGAAGCAATAGGATATGTTGCATCCGACGAGCTCATTGAGGTATTCTGTCATTTAACGTTATTTTATCATTAACTTTTACTTTCCCTACTGGTGAGAGGGCCATAAAACAAACTTCCCATTGATGTGGGAGCCGTATTACTTTTTATTTATTTCATAAAAAACACAAAAATGATCTTTATTTTCACAAGAATCATGTATCACCCCATTATTGTTTTAGTGATAGATGGCCTATTGCATCGTGCAGGTTACACCAAAAGCCATCAGGCTAAGAAAGAGATATTTGGACGTCAACAAGCGTAAAGCTACGAGGAACAAACCCAAGGAGTGAAAAACTTTTGACGATTTGCAGCTTCACGCTATTTTCGGAGTCTTTGGACTCTATATGTTCACTTTAGACTCCGTATTTATACGTACATTTTTTTGACATACATATGGTCTGTAAATAACTGCTTCCTGTAACACCCCATTGAGGAGAATGAAACTTTGTTGTGCCAAATGGTAGAACCAATAAGTGAAGCTCTCTCCATCACATTTATTCTTTGTTGTGCCAAATGGTAGTACATTTTTTTAAAATGGTTTTTTTGTTACAACACATCAGTTATGGACTAAGGCCCTGTTTGGTATCAGAATTAGAGATTAGCGTTAGCATTTTGAAAATATTATCCGACGGTAGCTTTTAGCGTTAGCGTTTTCAGAACTAATCTACATTATTAAAGTTTTATCTAAAATGTTAATGTTAATAAAAAACGTTATCTAAAAATAGGTTATTCATATAACCTATTTTTTTTGCTTATTATTTATTCTTGTTAAAATTAGATCACTAGATCAAATGAGATGTAATCATATCAGATTTGATCCAATCAGATCAAATCAGATTAGATCTAATCAGATCAGATTTTAAAAAAATTAATGCTATTTTTATTCTTATTATTATTACGCTTATTATTAGTAGTATTATTACTTTTGCTATTATTATTATTACCCTTTTATTAGTATTATTATTATTATTATTACTATTAATATTACTATTAATATTATGATTATAATTTGTTGTCAAAAAAAATATTATGATTATAATTATTACTATTGTTATTATTATTACTATTAATCTTAATAATAATATTATTATTACTATTCTTATTATTACTACTACTATTATTATCATTATTAATTTATTATTACTATTGGTATTACTATTATTATTACTATCGCTATTACTATTACTATTATTATGACAATAATTATTATTAATATTGTTTTTATAGTTATTATCATTATTATTGCTATTATTATTGTTCATATTTATAATATTATATTATTATTATTATTATTACTATTATTATTAGTATTATTATGATTTCTATTATTATTATTATCAGTATTGCTTTTATTATCAATATTTTTATTATTATTAGTATTATTATTGTTGTTGTTATTACGATTCTTATTAATAATATTATTATTACTATTAGTATTTTTATTATTACTATTATTATTATTACTATTATTATAACTACTACTCCTCTGTCTCTCAATATTTGTCCATTTCAAAGTGGCACAAATACCAAGGAGGAAGCATTAAAGTAGTCAAATGTCAAGAATACCCTTAGAGTTGAAAAAGGATAGGGGTCTTCATGAACAACCAAAAAGTAACACGGAGTATCTAGTAAAAAAAGCTCATACTATTGCTTTTTGGAATGGTATTATCTCATCAACAAAAAAAAATAGATTTAAACTTAAATCAAGAAATAAATGTGAAAAATTTCATCTAATATAGGGACTCAGAAATGTGAAAATTTTCATCATTATCCCCAACTGCAAATTTTGGGTCATCATACTCAGGAACATAGGTTCTCATCATCGCATCAATCTCAATTCGAAACAGTAATCTCAACATCTTTAGAGTTTGGAAGAATAATTTTTGCATCATTAGACTCTGGCAAAGTCTTCTCCTCATCACCCCGTCCCCATCTTCATCAGGAACAATCACTTGTCTGGCCGGGTTCATGATGTTCTTCAATGGCAGAGACAAAGTTTTCAATCCCTACCAACGAAAGACGACTCGTCTAGTTTGAAGACGATCAAACCATCATCATCGAAGCTTACCTTATCTTCAAACTCAATTTAAGGGATTAAGGATTCAAATTAAAAAACAGAGAATGAAACATATCTGAATCCCATCTAAGATCTAGAGTTTTTGGGATGAAGTAGAAGCAGAGGAGACAGAGATTGAGGCAAAGTATTCTAGATGGAAACAGATGAGTGAGAAGATATTGGGAACAAGGTCGGTGTGGAAGTATAAATGAGAGTGGGTGGGAGAATATAAATGGACGGTGGGAGTAAGTGATAAAGACATTTAATTAGAAGGGTAAAGTGGGGAATTAATTTAATTTTTTCTGCTAAAAAAGGAAAGTGGATAAATATTGTGGGACGGCCCAAAAAGGAATAATGGACGAATACTGAGGGACAGGGGAGTATAATAAAATTTTAATTTTAATTTTAATCAAATTTATATCAGATCCAATCAGATCAGACCAGATCATACCAAAGGTACACCGTTTTGTCCCACATATTTTATTCTTTTTGAAATGGAAGATAAAGCTTGAGAAACCCTATAAATATGATATTGTTTGGCTCTGTTTGGTTCACGCCTTCATGGAATTCAAATTATGAAATTGCAATTGAGGATAACAATTCTAATTCTGCCGCTCGGTAGCACAAAAAATATGTTGATTTGGAATTATAGTGCCACAAATGAATTGGAATTGAAGAATTCAATTACATTTAAATCAATTTCAATATCGTCAATTCCGTGTACCAAACGGATCCTCTCTGTTTGCATTTGATTTTTGATGTGAGGTTCTCATAGCATAGCCTTTCATGTTTGGTGATCTTTTTAGGTTTCTTGGTTGCTTTCAAAACCTAGCGTTAAGTTAGAGTTGTTCTTTCATGGTTTTAAAGCCTACATATGAAATGTGAATTTTTTTACATTTTTCACACTTTCCATAAGTTAACTAGTGACTTTTTTGTGTGTAAAAGATCTAATTTTTTTATGATATTAATACACTAAAAATCCATTTCTTTCAAAATAAAAAAATATAGTAAAGTCCATAAAATGACCATGGATGGTGTGACAACATAAGAATTTGCTATTAGGGTCCGTTTGGTAATGGAAAAATGACTTCTGGAAAATAATTTTTGGAAAATGATTGATTTTTCTAAAAAGTCATTTTCCATTTATTTTTATTCTATGATGTTTGGGAGAAATGGAGAAAATGTGAAAGAAATGTAGTAGACCTACGACCATTGACACTAATTGTTCAATTCTAAGATATAGAATTTCTTGTTTGAACTAGATTTCCAAATCGAAGGAGGTCTTCCGTCGCTCTTTCATTGCTCGCCAGGACCCATTCAAAGACCAATTGCATAGTTCTCTCATCACTCGCTATTTCTAATGGACATGGCTGAAAATGAGGGTTGCGATGGTGGCGGAGAAGGAGGGCGGCGATGGTGGCCGGAGAAATTTGACTCTAAAGTCAAAATTAATTTGGGGGTGCAATTGAAGGGGGTGAGGTGCGTGTTCGGGTCAGGGCGGGGTAGGGGGTTTATCGGGAGATTTAATGGTAGGAATCGTCAATTTTACGAACGGGATACAGGAACATCCTGGGTCATCCAATGTCCAGAAGTCATTTTTCCATTACCAAACGGACCCTAAGAGCAAATTCTTACGAACGGGATACAGGAACCCCCTCAAAAAACATATCCAAGTAAGATAAAAGGAGTATTTTTACATTTTTTGATAAAAGGTGTACTTTTACATTACTCCGTATTTGCGATCGATCCACATGGCGATAATTCCAAAGCAAAAAAAAACCACGGGCCATAACTCTCGACGTTTTGGGTGTTTTGAACAATTTAATACTCCGTTGATTTGGATGATGTTTCTAATTTAAATTATCCAATAGTGTGTCGTCCCCTTTTCTTCCAATCACCCCGGCGATTCTTTGCCCGTCTTCTCCGATCATTGCCCGCTTCCTCTATTCTGCCAGCTTCATCCATCAACAATGGAGAAATTCAACTTCCGAACCCATGTCCTAGCCAGACACCTAACCCCAGAAGACCCAAATCTCGACGACCCTCTAATCCTCCTCCAATCCTCGCCCTGCATCAGCTACTCGCCGCCGGAGCTGTCGGAACCTGCGGCCGCATTCGATGTGTTCGAGATGCGGAAGTTGATGGACGAAAGCAACCTGGAGGAGAGGGACTGGCTGTACGGCCTCATGATACAGAGTAAGCTGTTCAACCCAAGGCCAAGAGGGGGTAAAGTGTTTGTATACCCGGATTTTAATCAGACCATGGAACAGCAGAGAGAGATCACCATGAAGAGGATCGAGTACCTCTCTGGGTGTGGTGTGTTTCGGGGATGGCTCACCGGAAAAGGGCCGGAAGCTGAGCTGAGGAAGCTTGCTCTTTTGGATGTTGTTGGGATTTTTGACCACTCTTTGTCCATAAAGATTGGCGTTCATTTCTTTCTCTGGTATGTGCTTTTGCTTACTCTTTCTATTTATGCTGACCCCTGAAATTTCTTTCTCTGATTCTTCATGGTCAAATTGTCAAGAATGCATTTTTATAAAAAAATGTTTTTATTTTTGGAGAATACTCTTGTTTATTGTGAGTTCCTCACAAGGTTGTACCTTTCTTGGAGATCTCTTTTTGGAATTATGTACTCTATAGAAAGTTGAAGTCCTTTCGGAGCGATTGTCTGAATAGGTCACCTGTTTCAGTTTGATACTCATATGAGCTTCACCATCTTGAAACATGCATTTTAGCCAAGAGATTTTGTTTTTATGATTTCAGGGGTGGAGCAATCCAATTTTTTGGTACAAAGCGGCACCATGATAAGTGGTTGAAGGATACTGAAGATTATGTGGTGAAAGGCTGCTTTTCGATGACCGAGTTAGGGCATGGAAGTAATGTATGGGAAACTATGCAAGTTGTTTTTAGTTAACAGTCGCAAATTGTGCTCTCATCATCATTTATGCTTCCCTATGACATTCTTCCAGGTTCGAGGGATTGAAACAGTTGCAACTTATGACTCAAACACTGAAGAGTTTGTCATTAACACTCCATGCGAGTCAGCTCAAAAGTATTGGATTGGTGGAGCAGCAAATGTAGTGACTCTTTTTTATCTTCAATATTTGTGATCTTTTATAATTTTATGTTTTGCAATAGTAGAGAGAAGCCTATAGATGCTGACTTGTTTTCGCATCACCATATTGTAGCATGCAACTCATACAATAGTTTTCTCCCAACTTATTATTGATGGGAAAAATGAAGGGGTCCATGCATTTATCGCTCAGATCAGGGATGAAAATGGAAACATCTGCCCCAACATTCGTATAGCTGATTGTGGCCATAAGATTGGTTTGAATGGGGTCGACAATGGTCGTATCTGGTACTAAAGTCATACCTCATAATCACTTGAGCATGGCACGTTTGTTATGGTTTTCTACCTTGACAACGACCGGATCTTTAGAATATTCCAAATTAATTTTACCAGGTTTGACAATGTTCGGGTACCCAGAGAAAACTTGCTAAACTCAGCAGCTGATGTGTCTCCTGATGGGAAGTATCTTACTGCAATTAAGGACCCAGATCAGGTAAAATACAAGCCAACCCTGTTGGTTTTTTAGAGCACTTTACCCTGGCTCTTCAATTGGATTCTCCATTTAGATGAATATAAATTTAGGAGTAATTTACTAACTGGATATTCATGCTTTGTTTTATTTTCAGCGGTTTGCAGCATTCATGGCCCCTTTGACATTCGGGCGTGTGACCATTGCAGTTAGTGCTACTTATTCAGCGAAGGTAAAAAAGCCATGAAGTCTTCCTGAATTTTGTACTATAATAAGTAACAATATTTTTTTTTCAATTACCGTCAACAGGTTGCCTTAGCAATTGCCATAAGTTACTCGTTAACAAGGAGAGCATTTTCCATTACACCAAATGGACCTGAAGTTCTTTTGCTTGATTATCCAAGTCATCAAAGACGGCTTTTGCCTCTCCTTGCAAAGACGTAAGCTGTTTTAAATTTTGCTAGGATGGTGGTACTGGAAGATGCCTTGTTTTTTCCCTTGTCATCTACATGACTATAGCAATCTGTTTACTTTGTTTTCCTTGAATGCCCAGAATTCTCATCCACATTAACTCCACCTAATTCCACTTAGATATCCTCTGACCTTGATTAGTTGTTAACTAGGTTTGAGGCCCCGCCTAGCTGGTGCCAAGTGCTTTTTTGAACATTGGTTGTTAGTTCTTTAAACATTACACCTTTTTTGTTTGTTTTTGGATGTTGCAGGTATGCCATGAGCTTTGCTGCTAACTCTTTGAAGATGCTGTATGTGAAGAGGACGCCTCAAATGAACAAAACTATACATGTTGTTTCCAGTGCTTTTAAAGCTTCCTTAAGCTGGCATAACATGAAAACTCTTCAGGTATTACCGTATTCATCAACATCTTCATTAACAGTTGCCTATTTACTTATTTGTTTTTAAAATTCAATCGATCTTTATGAATTGGATTAGGAATGCCGAGAAGCATGCGGAGGTCAAGGTTTGAAGACTGAAAATCGTATTGGTCAGTCAAAAGGGGAATACGATGTTCAGTCGACGTTTGAAGGTGATAACAATGTTCTAATGCAGCAGGTAATAATATCATGAAATTTTTTGGAGGTAGGATCTAGATGCTCTGATCTTTTTTCGATGTCTGAGAGAGCTTCCAATAATTAGAAGATGGAATTTTACCACTCATGACTAAAATTCCCAATCTACCAGCCATCTCAAATAATGCTTGCTTTGGAGTTTTATTGCGCCAGACTTGGTAAAACAAAATCCCTCGAGTCTAATCTAAGGCTAGCTTGATTTCCGAAAAAAGGCTGTGGGAAATGTTTACCTCTTAAAAGGATTTTCTGAAAAATAAGTTGTTCAATGCATAATAGTCCCTCCGCCCTCTCTTAATCTTCCACTTTTCTTTCTGGGGGTCTCAAATTAATCTTCTTTTTTTCCTTTAAGAAAACAATTGCGTGTTTGATATTATTTAAATAAATCTCAAGTGCACAATTTCATTTTCTTAAACTTGTGCAATGTCAAAGTGGGGACATTAAATAAGGATTTAACTTGTTGAAGGATTAATGTTTAGCCATAAAAAAACAAAAAATAGAAACTAAATTGGTCGAAAAAATGACTATCTCAAAAGACTAAGCTTAAATGCGAAAGCAGATCTAGGTTTTCCCACAGTCAATTCGTCAGTCTTAAAAAAAATTTGTACAAGCATTATCGATTGCTCTAACCAATTGGCCTTCATAATTTTCTTTCTAATAAACTGAAACATTGAGGCGCGTAGTAAAGAAGATTTGAAGATAACAGTGACCATTTATGATATCTCAGGTTAGCAAGGCACTACTTGCTGAATATGTGGCCGCTAAAAGAACGAATAAGCCATTCAAAGGATTGGGATTGGAGCACATGAATGAAACCTCTCCTGTTATACCTTTGCAGCTTACTAGTGATTCCCTAAGGAGTACCCGTTTCCAGGTAATTGAAGGGTTTTTTTGCCTCCTTATACAGTGACAATACACCATTTTCAATTGTTTGCAACTTTTCAACGTTTTCAGAGTGACATACTCTGCCTACGGGAGAGGGACCTTTTGAATCGCTTTGCTGCTGAAATCTCACTCAGCCAATCACAAGGGCAGAGTAAAGAACATGCCTTTGCCGTGGTGAGATATCCTTCCATATATATATATATATTATAGAAAGGGAAACAAAACATTTTATTCTTTCCCTCACACACACAGCTAAACATTCCCTTTTTTACGCATCAGAATCATTTGCTTGCCGAAGACTTGGGCAAAGCCTATGCAGACCGTGCAATTTTCCAAACTTTTGTAGAGGCCGAGGCGTCTGTAACATCCATTCCCCTTAAGGTAATCATATTGCTTTTAAGAATCCACTCATACCCTTGATTGCTAGAGATCTCCAACTTAGGCTGTGTTTCTTTTGCTTGATCTGATTTGATTTTTTGAAGACCTGGTCTGATTTGTCAGATCTGATTGTAGTAATATTTAAAGCTGTTTTTGATCTGATCTATGGTTTAGTCTGGTCTGATCTGATTTCAAAAAGAATAAGTAATAAGCTGAACGGAATTGACCCTTAGGCGCTACATGCGATCAGTGACATGAGTCATAAAACACAGAAACACATGAAAACATTTATGACTTGGTGTATCCACACGAATTGAAACAAGCTAAAATATCACTTGTACTTTTTTTTGCAGACTTTGCTTGGTCTCGTAAGATCAATGTACGTTCTCTTCACATTGGATGAAGACGCGGCATTCTTACGGTATGGATACTTATCCACAGAGAATTCTAGTACCATCCGGAAGGAAGTTGGTAAGCTCTGCACAGAACTTAGACCACATGCCCTTGCCTTGGTCCGTTCCTTCGGCATACCCGATGCTTTCTTGAGTCCTATAGCTTTCAATTGGATAGATGCAAATGCTTGGGCTTCCGTTTAGGAATGGGCATATAATCTGTGGTTTTCTCTCTTCTTCAGCAAACAAAACGTGGAGAAGTTTTAATGATCAAAAGGATGAACTATAAACTGTAGTATTTCTTCTGTCCCTGAATAATCATTGTAGGTTTTTGGGTACACGAATAAAGTTCATAGCTTGAATTTTAATGAAAATATTGTACTCTCCCGTCCGAAAATGTTCTTCACATTTGACTTTTCTTGATCAAAGTTTGTAAACTTTGACTTCGATTTGTGGAAAAAATACATTGTATTATGATATAAATTTAATATCAATATATTCCTAAAGAAATGTAGTTTTGAAATAACAAATTTTTATAAAATATATCTATGTATTAATACATAAATTAATAGTCAATGTGTAACATTTAAGATCTTTAAAAGTCAAATGAGAAGAGCATTTTCGCACTAATGGAGTAGTAAAAAATGAACATTGAATTTTGGAAATCAAGGACCAAGTTTATTTAGGGATGGGCGGATTACTATGGAAAAATGTACTACTCCATACATCATAGTAATTACATTGCAGGGTATTAGATACGGAGTAATTTAATTTAGACGTGTCTTTTGAACATTTTACTAGAAATAAGATGCACTCAAATAATAGAAAATATTTTAATTTTAAATTCACAATAGACAAGTTTGTAAGGTTTGTGAACTATTTGTCTGTGACTCTAGCATTATTTTTTAATTTCAAATACATTCTTAAACACCTTCTAAATACACACTTATAAACTATTTAAATGAGAAATGTTAGAGTCACTAAAAAAAGACTAAAATGATTTTAAATATACAATTTTACTATTTGTGCACTTTAAGAACCAAAATGATTTTAAATAATTAAAAACTAAAAGATTTAACTGTAGAAATGACAAATTTATGTATTTTGATTTTTTTGAATGGATCATGTGGTGGTAAATCATAATTTTTGTTCTACTCATAAGCCGTACAAAGTGGTGAATTCTAGGTTGAATCTTTCAGAGTTAACTGCAATGCACGAAACTGGCAGGCAGTTGCGGCATTGAAATTTACCAATTTTCCCCTTTAAAGACACTTAATACTCATCTCCAATTCCCTCTCAACTTTATTTCACACCTTCTCTTAGAAGATTAAAAAAAAGTTACAAAATCAAAGAAAGAAAGATTGATGAGTTCTCGTCGTCGTCCCCAGACCTACCAGATCGCGATGTATCCATGGCTAGCCTTTGGTCATCAAACCGCTTTCCTCCGCCTTGCCAATAAACTAGCCACAAAAGGTCATAGAATCTGGTTTTTCATCCCCAAAAGTTCCCACTTAGTGCTTCAGCTCTACAACCACCATCCGGACAACATTTTCTTCCTCGCCGTCTCCGTCCCGCACGTCGAAGGGCTCCCTCCCGGGGCGGAGACCACCGCGGACGTCCCCTTCTCCTCTTCCCATCTCATCATGGAGGCAATGGACATGACCCTGGAGAAGGTGGAGGAGGAGCTCCGGAATCGCCACGTCGATGTCATCTTCTTTGATTTCGCATGTTGGGTACCCAGAATGGCGCGTAGAATCGGAAAGCGGTCCGTGTTCTACAGCACCATTAGCCCCATGATGCACGGGTACGCTCTTTCCCCGGAACGCAGAGTTCCGGGGAAAGAGTTGACGGAAGCCGACATGATGAAACCTCCTGTCGGCTTCCCAGAGCAATCCATCAGGCTGCGTGCCCACGAGGCACACGGCTTCACGGCCAGGACCACCATGAAGTTTGGCGGGGACATCACTTTCTTCGATCGGATTTTTAAGGGCGTGAGCGAGTGTGATGCTCTGGCATATAGTACGTGTCGTGAGTTGGAGGGGCCGTTCTGCGACTACATTGAATCCCAGTTTCAAAAACCCATTCTCCTGGCTGGTCCAGCCCTACCGGTCCCACCCATCTCCATCCTGGAGGAAAGGTGGTCCGGCTGGCTGGACAAATTTCAAAAAGGCTCTGTCATATATTGCGCATTCGGGAGCGAATGCATCCTCGAGAAGGACCAATTCCAAGAGCTCTTATGGGGCCTCGAGCTAACAGGAATGCCATTCTTCGCGGCGCTCAAAACACCATCTGGAGCCGACTCCATTGAGTCGGCAATTCCAGAGGGGTTGATAGAGAGGCTTCAAGGGAGAGGCATAGTGCACGGGCGATGGGTCGAGCAGCAACTCTTTCTCCAGCATCCGTCGGTGGGTTGTTTCATAACCCACTGCGGATGGGCTTCTCTCACGGAAGCGCTCGTAAACGAGTGCCAAATCGTGTTGCTCCCGCACGTGGGAGACCAAGTAATCAACGCCAGAATCATGAGCGTGTGCATGAAAGTTGGGGTAGAGGTTGAGAAAGGGGAAGAAGATGGGTTGTTTTCAAGAGAGAGTGTGTGCAAGGCAGTTAGGGCAATGATGGATGAGAAGAGTGAGATAGGGAGAGATGCTAGGGCTAACCATGACAAGTTTAGAGAGTTTTTAAAGAATAAGGATCTTGAGTCCAAGTACATTGATAGTTTCAATGATAAACTGCATTGTCTCTTTGCTGGATGAATGGAATCATTCTGAAGATTCTCAACTCTAAAGTCTAGTTAAGACTTTAGAAGAATAGAGCTTAATTTTCTCTAAATGGTGTATGTATTTCCAAATTTGTCCATGTGATCATGCCAAAGATGTGATCATTGTATTCACTAGTTAACTTTGGAAAAAGGAATCTTCACGTTTTCCGGGTGATCAAATGAAAGTTAATTATTTGCGTTTCACTTTTATTAGCAATGGGAAACTTATTGTAAACTTTCAACAATATGATTTTATATCGCGCTTCACACGAAATCGTATACTCTTTGATAATTTATTTAAAAAGATGAAGATTGAAAATAAAGACTCCGGCGTAAACAAATTAATTATGTGCTACTTTCATTTTGAAGCATTTGTTTTGTAATCAATATTGATAAATTTTTATTATTAATTAAGTAAAACTTATATTAAATGTTGATATAAGAATTATATTTTAAGATCTATTTTGCAAAATATTTTCAAAATATTGTTTTATCTAATAAATATAACATATAATATTTATTTAATTTTTTATTGAAGTTATTTTTAATTTAATTTATTAGAAGGTTTTGGTGGATTTAAAAAAATTAATTATCTACTCCCCGGTTCTAAAAACATGAAAGTTAATGATTTTTAAGAGATTTAAGGGAAATATATTTTAGTCTTAAATTTCCAAAAAAGTTTTTTGATGTGATGGGTAAAAGTAGGATTTGATAGATAGATTATTGGTAAAAAGGTATGATGTAATAGGTAGTGTATGAAAAAGTAAGGAGTAAAGTAACTCTTTAATACAAATAAGAAGTGTTTTTTGGAACAGATGAAAAAAAAGAGAAAGATTTTCAGGGACGAGGTGATTATATTTTAAAACCAGAGTAAATTGTATAAAAGGTCCCCAGTTATAAGTTATTTTACATATTTAGTTCCTACATATCAAATATCACTAATTTAGTCCCCAATTATTATATCATTTTTCACGAATGGTCCTTTGTTAACGTTTCTGTTACGAACATGGATACAATTGTATATTCACACTTCTATCTCTCCTTAATTAAGCTTCCTCCCTTCTCTTGTACTCTTTCTCAAACTCGTCATTGAGTTTGAAGCTCTAAACCCAAAAATAAAATTATCACTCCTCTCTCAATTGTTAGTCTTCTTGGTGGAATCGAAAATCAAAACCAACAACCTTTGTTAATGAGTTGTATCGATTTGTCTCAAGAAATTTTAAAGAAAATAAACCTTAAAACTCATCCATGAAGGTTACTGGCTTCGAATTCGGGTCCCACTAGTTAGACAAACAATTGAGAGAAGAGTGATGATTTCAGTTTTGGGTTCAAAGCTTCAAACTCAGCGACGAGTTTGATAAAGGAGTGCGAGGGGAGGGAGGAAGCTTAATTGAGGAGAGAAAAGAGTGAATTTATAATGTTATCCACGTTCTTAACAAAAATGTTAACAAAGGACCATTCATGGAATAGAATATAATAATTAGGGACTAAATTATTGATATTTGATATGTAGGGTGATGGTGTAAATTACTTGACCGGTCAAACTATACTAGACCGGGTCTAGAATAGTTTGCTTGATTTGGCAAAGTAAGAAAGGTAAAAACACGCAGATTGACCGGTAGGACTTTAGGTGGAACACCTGTAGCCCAATTTATATTATAACGGAGAATGCACGGGTGCTTTTACAAGGGAGTTTAGAGAGAGTGAATTCCGATCCCCTCATTCGAGGGTTACAAGAGGTATATNTTAAATTCGAATTTTGGATTTTCCCGCTCAAAATTTTTGAATTTCAAAATTCAAAAAGTATCAGTTATGACACGTGTCGGAAACTGAGCGCGGCCAGTCAAGTGTCCCTTCGTCTCCCCAGGTGCAATGATGGCGCCGCCTGACGCGGCGCGCCCTGGTGAGGCCACGTCGCCTCCTTCTCCTCTCTCCTCGCCTATATATAGGCTTCAAACCCCATCGCCTTTCTCACTTTTTGCAATCCGTTTCTAGAGCTTCTACCGGTCAAGCTTTCTTCTCTCGCCCCCTAGCCCTCCGAGTCAAGTAAGCTCCCTTCTCTCTTCCTTAACTTTCTTTATTCTCCATTCTTTCTTCCGGTAAATGTCTTCCTCCGATAGTCAGGATATTTCCGCCTCGGATGCCTACGCATCCGAGGAATCCCTATCCTCTTCCTCTACCGGGTCATCTTCACCCGAGCCTGACACTCGGTCAGCTCGAAAACCCAATATCCCCGAACCTCAACCGGTGAACCAAATGCCCGGTCAGGTTTTTGCGGAGAGGGAGGATCCGGTCAGCGACGAACCAGCCCTCTATGACCCGGATAAAGAGACCCGGGACCAATGGGTAGAGAGGCTGGAAGTAGCCGGTTACTCCCCCCTCCCTACTTCCTTTGTTACAGACATTTACCCCCATGTTTCTAAGATAGCCTTGAATAAGGCCCGTAGGAATCTTCCAGCGGGTTATATTCTTGAGTACGACGAGAACTGGTCCAACATCATAGAACCGCACCGGGACGATAGGATAGGTTTTCATATTGCCTCCTTAGAGAGTGGTACCGTCTTTCCCCTCCGCCCAATCCTGGTCGAGCTGTGTCACTGCTTCAGGATTCTCCCCGGGCAGATCACACCCAACGCTCACCGGTTGCTTAATTCTTTCGCAAACATCTGCACCCATCTTCGCATCGATCCCTCTCTTCGTCTCTTCTTGTATATGTTTGAGGTTTGTCCGGGTAAACCGGGTTGCGAAGGTTTTGTCTACTTCAAGGGACGGAACAATCGCAAATTTATCTCTGACCTTCCACAAAGCAACCGCTTGTGGAAGGAAAGATTTGTCTTCATAAAATTTCCCCCTTCTGCCAACCCTCTGGCCGGCTTGAAGTGGAGTGACAATCTCCTCAAGCACCAGTTCACCGAACCGCACACCACTCCAGACTTGGAGGAGAGTCTGGAAAAGCTTCTCAGGGGGGATCCCTACACCGGTCAGATGTACCACTATGGTGGTTGGGTCTGGCGCACCCAACCGGGTGGCGAGGGTACCTCCCAAGCCCATGAAGCAGCGGGGCACGGGGTACCCTCCCCGGGCGACACTGCGGAGGCTGGGGGCCCAAGTCACCCAGGTAATCTGTCACTATAATCTTTTTTTTTTATATTACTCGTCACACATGGATCACATAACTTTCCACTCGTCTTGCAGATATGAACTTCAGGTCCTTCGGCATCCGTAAGACGGCCGGTGCGTCTTCTTCTGCTGGTCTCCACACTTCCACTGCCAAAACCGTTCCGGTTTAGAAGGAGACCATAGAGGTCCACTCCGAAGAGGACACTCCTCCAACTGGTGGAGCTTCCCCGGCCGGCAGGGGACCGGAAAACCCCACCCTCCATAAGGGAAAGTGGAAGATGAGGATGAAGAAAGTTGCCACCACACATCCGGCGGCGAAGAGGAGAAGGGGAGAAACTTCCCCGGCTGGAGAATCGATGGAGGAGCTGTGGGTCAAGATGACCCTTAAGCTGAAAGAGGTATCGTTCTCCCGGTATGTTATTTTTAACGGCCTACTCGTACATTTTTCTAACCGGTCGGATTGACAATTCACAGATGGGCGAGGTTGGCCCGGAGACTTTGGAGAAGCTCGCGGGGGACTCCCCCTCCCGGTCATTTCAGATGGAGGAGAAGCTGAAGGGAGTCGAAGCCCACAACCGGGAGCTGCAGGACCTGATTGCCCGGCAGCTTGATGAGCTTTCCCATCTCTCAGCGATTGCCGGGGAGGCCAAGGCAGAGACCCTTCAGTTGAAAGAGGAGAACTTGAAGCTATTGGAGGACTTGGAGCTGAAGGAGCGAGAGTTCCCCGGCAGGGCCAAGCAATGGGTGGGGGAGAACCTGGAGGAGACGGCTCGGGTGATCACATCCACTCCGGAGGTAACGATGGAGGCCTTCAAGTTCATTTACCGGGAGGAGCAGGGGAAAGA